TTCCATATCCAGTTCTAACTGTTGCTTCCTGTCCCACATATAGGTTTCTCAAGAGATGGATAAGGTGGTCAGGCACGCCCATTTCTTTAAGGACTTGCCATAGTTTGCTGTGGTCCACACAGTCAAAGGCTTTTGCATAATCAATGAAGCAGAAGTAGATGTTTTTCTGGAACTCGCTGGCTTTCTCCATGATCCAGCGCATGTTAGCAATTTGGTCTCGAGTTCCTCTGCCTCTTCGTAAACCCACTTGTACTTCTGGGAGTTCTCGGTCCACATATTGCTGAAGCCTACCTTGTAGGATTTTGAGCATAACCTTGCTAGCGTGTGAAATGAGTGCAATTGTACGGTAGTTTTTCCCCATAGGAAAGCATTAAACAGGGTTTTATACGTTCCTATGGGGTTTTTTGTTCCGTATAGCGACGGTTCCAGATAGCGACGATTTTCCTGGAACGGATTATCATCGCTATGTGCGGCACCACTGTAGTTGTGTCCAGGAATCACATGGGGAATACCTGCCCCTTCTTGCTGCCATTAGTCTCATCCTCTAATGAGCATTTTGTACCTTTGTGGGGAAAGGATTCTCAGGCAAGCCACATCACCCAGAAGGTGACCAAAGGTGCCAGTTGCACAGAAAATTCATCATAACTTCCACTGATTTCATTGGCTGCAAGATGAAAGTGCCATGCCCTCTTTCTAACTCAGTGTTCAAGCCCAGGCATTCAAGAAGGTGGTTACATTGCTGACCCTTTTTTGCAGCCTCCACAAGTGAACCATTACCACAATTCTTGCCATAAAGCACAACTTAATCAGACAAGGCTTTCATGTTATGCATGGCATCCACTTCCGGTTCTGGGGGGAGGGATGCAGCGCCAGAAGCACCCCCCTCCTCATTTCCAGCTTTCCCTTCTCCCCCTCCCTTACCTTTCTTTCTCCCTCTCTCAACCTCTCCAGTCCTCATCATCATCCTCATCATCCTTGTTCCCATCTTTCATGTTATTCCACTTCCGGTTCTGGGGGGGGGATGCAGTGCCAGAAGCACCCCCCTCCTCATTTCCAGCTTTCCCTTCTCCCCCTCCCTTACCTTTCTTTCTCCCTCTCTCAACCTCTCCAGTCCTCATCATCATCCTCATCATCCTTGTTCCCATCGTTTCCATCCTGAGAAGCAGGGGGGCTGCCCATGGGCGCACACACACACACACACACACACACAAACACACAGAATCCTCTGCCCCACCCCTAGTGGACCAAGGGGGGGAAAGAATGACCAGGAGGAGCTATGGGGGGACCTCTGCTGCTTTCCCACCCTCCAGGACAGGAGCAACGCCCGACAAGGCCCCCTCAGCCCCCCTCCCAGCTTCTTCTCTGAAGGGAGAGAGCCCAGGGCGGGGGTAGTGGTGTCAGGGGCAAGGGGCACCTCGCTCCAGGGCAGGGGTGGTGGTGTCAGGGGCAAGGGGCACCTCGCTCTGTGGGAGACCCCTCTGGACACCGCATCCTGTGGCAAGGAGTTCCACAGACTAACATGCTAAATCAAGAAATATTTTCTTACGCCTTGGTCTTCCCTTTTGCTGCTCTTTCTCCTCCGGCGCCTCCATTGACATTAAGCTTTCTGCTCCAGACTTCCAAGGATGATGGATGTAGACTTCGGCTTCCTTTTATACAGCCCGAAGTGAAGCTCTTCTCCCTGCTCCGGTTCTCTCAAGGTTTCTTCCCCACAGGGCCGCCCATTTGACACGCGTTGCATGCGCACACACCGTGTCACACGCAGGCACAAAGACAAACGTTGCACAAACATTTGCAGATCCCCACAACTGAAGCATCTCTCCATCATCCCTTTGACCTTTTTGATTGGATCTCCTTGTCTATTATTTATTTAGCTTTTATACCACCCACCGAGACGGATCTACTCTGCGCACGTTTTACAGTCCCAAAAAAGGCAATAAAATTAAAATAATGTATAAAAAGACTGAAACAAGCCAAAAACCAGAAGAAGAAAAACTAAGCAATGGCAGGAGGGATTTCATGCCCTTTTCCTTTATGTGGTTTCCTGAAATGTAGCTGGGGAAGTCCACTGATCTGCCCTCCTCTCCTGGGTCTCTCCCCAGTTCTGCCTTCAGCTTTATTCTCAGCTGTGCTCTGTTATGAAACGGGTATTTCACCTGTTATTTTCACTGTTTCCGTATGTCTGATGAAGTGGACATGTCCACAAAGGCTCACACTAAAATATAATTGTTAGCCGATAAGGTGCCATACATTTGTGTCTTGTTTTGCTTGGCTGTTGTGGGTTTTTCGTGAAACGGATATTTCACCTGTTATTTTCACTGTTTCCGTACGTCTGATGAAGTGGACATGTCCACAAAGGCTCACATTAAAATATAATTGTTAGCCGATAACGTGCCATACATTTGTGTCTTGTTTTGCTTGGCTGTTGTGGGTTTTTCGGGCTCTTTGTCCGTGTTCTGAAGGTTGTTCTTCCTAACGTTTTTCGCCAGTCCTCTGAAGAGGCCGGCCATGTAAAATGTAGATTTTCACAATGTATACTGTATTGTGGTCGTCGTCGTTTAGTTGTGTCCAACTCTTCGTGACCCCATGTATACTGTGGTAACGTCCCTCTAAAACCGCAGAGGGAAGGCGTTTAAATCTCGCTCCTGAAAAGGCCTGCCGGTATTTTTTGGATGGTTAGGTTTTCCAGGTATAGCTTGCTCTTTGGTGGAATTTGACATTTAGACCAAAGTTCACGGGTGAAGAGATTTTTGTAAGCACCTTTTCTCTGTCAGGCTTTGGGACGACAAGCTGATCCATCTGGATTCCGTTTCTCTTTTTTCTGAGAAATGACCCCCTCCCGTCTCTGTCCCCTTCCCAGCTTTTGTGACGTCCTGGTCTCCCTCCGCGACAGCCCCACCACCACCCTTGCCCACGTCGCGGAGGGAGGGGCCCCGGGGACTTCTTTTCTCTCTCCAGAGCACTCCCTCCCCCCCCCGCCTTCCTTCCCGCCTT